ATTTCTCGATCGTTATCTGTAACGGAACAAATTATTTTCTTGTCAATTTTTGTAGTTGATGTACGTACCCACTGATTACAATAAAACTGGCGGCGATCGTCCATTGAAAAAGATAATGGTCCCACATGGCATGCCCGAGGCAAAAGTTGGCTCTGACATATTCCTTCAGCATCGATGCCCGGTTAATACCTGCACGATTGTCCGAGATAACGCCGAAGATGCAGATTTAATTCTGTTTAAAGACTACATAACGCACGTGGGAAGGAGATCCCCAAGTCAAGTATGTCGTTCAAATTTTTTCCTATCTAGACCCGTGATTCCCAACGTGAGGCCCATTAAGATGAGCTCAAATTGCATTTGAAATTTGTCAGGTACCTTTGCTTGATTTTAATAATAATTTAAATGATCCAAGTATTATAGAAAAAGCTTCCATGAAAGTTATTTTATATATGTGCATTTCAATTCTTTATCAGATATGTTGTGAAAACTTTTCAACAATCTCTCAGTGATTTCTTCAGGGTCCACTTCAACTGTCCTTTCTTTTATTTTTTTCTTTCATGTTCTTTGGAAGTTTGTGGAGACTAAGTTAATGGCAAGAATTCACTTTTTAAATAACAACAATTATGTGTCACATCAGGAATTCAGAGGTGCTTACAATTAGATGAGGCATGGGTAAAAGAAGGTTGGGAACCATTGATCTAGATATGTAACCTATCTCTAACCTAACCAGAGTGATATGCAAAGTGACAGCAATAAGCGAAGCAAAATTTAGAAAGATCTTCTAATTATAATTATAAAGTCTGGAGTAATAGATGTTCATAGCCAGGCTAGAAATTTAAAAATCATGTTGTAGTTGAAGTAGAGTAATGAAAGTGTTTGAAGTAAAATAACTAAGAGTTAAATTGTCAAGCAACGACGCAAGTCAAGTCAACCACATGTTCGCGAAACATGTTTATATCGTGTAAACGTAATTTGGTAAAATTGGACCTGCTGCACAAATCACGAATAGATTCGCGTTGCGATGCCTTGGCACACAATCGAATTATACACGTCGAATGAGACTAATACGATTTTCAGCAGGTGTGGATGCTGTATTTTTTAGAATGCCCTTATCACACGCAGAGCGTGAAGAACGCTGTCATCAATTGGACGGCAACTTATCGTCGCGACAGCGACATAGTCGCGCCCTATGAAAGATGGCAATATTACGACTCTAGTGTCACACAAATATCGCAGAGTTTTAATTACGCAGCCAACAAGACTAAAAAGGTGAGTAATAACATCGTCGTCTGGCTTTGATCACTCTCAAGTTTCTCGAATCTTGAACGAGAAGCAACATTTTTATTTAGTATTGGCGTGCTGTGAAGTAGGCACCAATGAATTGCACAGGGTGGGCCAAAGATCACTCTCTATATATTTTTTAATTTGCGAACGCTCTGACAGTCAACGAGAGAGAAATAATTTTTAATAAAAGTCATGTTGATCGTGTTTAAACTTAAAATTAATAAAATTAGTTTTTTCCTATATTTTGAGGTTTTACTTTGGAACAAAAAAATAGGTGGGAGGAAGCCCTTTTGGCCAACCCTGTGTAAGATCCAATAACACTTAATATTGTTTTTAACCAGTGATTACTACAGGTTTTAAAATTAGTAAATTAGAAATTAAAATTTATGAAATTAAATTAGAATTAAAATTTTAAAATTAGTTTTAATATTAGTTTTTTATTTTTAATATCTAGCTTAGGTTAGGTTTCAATTTCATATTTAACGTTGTTCCAGGTAGCGTGGTTCGTTTCCAATTGCCATCCGCGAAATCAACGTATGCATTACGCCAAGGAGCTTTCGAAATACATTCAAGTGGACATTTACGGGACCTGCGGCTCGTTACGATGCCCACGTTCGCAATCTCAAGCCTGTTTCGACATGCTCGACGAAGATTACAAGTTCTACCTTGCTTTCGAGAATTCCAACTGTAAGGATTACATTACGGAGAAGTTCTTCGTCAATGGTCTCGGGTACGGGAGATAACATTTATTAATCTCGATGTTTATGCTTGCAGCTGAAACTGCGCGACTGCCTTGATATAATGATTTTTATCAGTTGGGACGCGGTGTCCCGCCATTTCACGCGGCGCGAGAAGGTACATGCGAGGTTTTTCGAGTGCCACTTAAAAATTTCGTTGGGTTGTTGCCATAATTGCCAAAGTGTGCTTCACGCTCAGTTGTTACCACCCTTATTTAGTGCACTTTCGTGTGTGTAGAGGTCCTCAAGATTCCCTCCTGCTCTACTCTGTTGAAGTGTTGTCTTCACCGAGATTTTTGGAACACGGCTTGCTAGAACCTGAAGCTAAGTTCAGGCCGCTGTTCGATCTTTCGATCTGGCCGAAATTATACGCGCAACTGTAATTCCCAAGAATTATAATTTTCATCTCTTTCGAAATTATACCAAACTATTCTAAGAATTATAATTTTCATCTCTTTATTATTTTAATTATCGTAACACGCCACGATGAAAATCTCTCAAGAGAAAGATACTGATACAATCGGTCAGATCCTCTTATTTTAAGCAGTTCAGTATCTTCGTCCAGTTAGCAATAATTCTCCACACGGCTTGATATTGTTGCAATTTACATCTTGCAATTGACGCAGAGATGGATAAAGAGAGAGACAGATTTCTGTTTTCAAAATTCTCACTGTAATTCCCAATAATTATAATTTTCACTTCTTTAATTGTCGTAACACGTCACGATGAAAATCTCTCAAGAGAAAGATATTGAATCGGTCAGATCCTCTTATTTTAAGCAGTTTAGTATCTTCGTCCAGTTAGCAATAATTCCTCACACGGCTTGACATTGTCTGTGTCTATTGCAATTGACACCTTGCAATTGACGCAGAGATGGATAAAGAGAGATGATTGAGACAGATTTCTGTTTTCAAAATGCAGGCACAATGTTTTGCCAATCGTGATGGGCGCGCATCCGACGGACTATGCTCGCAGCGCTCCTTACCGTTCGTACATCCACGTGGACGAGTTCGAGTCACCGAAAGAGCTGGCCGAGTATCTTCATCGCCTGGACCGGGACGACGAGTTGTACAATTCGTACTTCCGTTGGAAAGGCACCGGCGAGTTCATCAACACTTACTTCTGGTGCCGTGTTTGCGCGATGCTGCACGACGACCGGCCGCCGAAATTTTACAAGGACGTGAACGAATGGTGGCGAGGCGATGGCATATGCACGACCACCTCGTGGCGTGAACACGACTCGGTCCGTGTGGACAACTTGAAAAATACCTGAAGTTACTGACTCGGTTGATTCAGGTAACTCGCAGACGCGGTGCTATACTAATCGTTTAGACCGGCGCGAACTAGCTAGCCAGACGATACGGAACATTATCGCTGTCGTTTTTCGTTGATATTAATGGATTTGTCTGGCTAGTCAATGCTAATCGACGAAAAAGCTGCCGACTACGATAATTTCACTTTGGCGAAATTCACCAGGATTACAGGAGCGTCCGAATTTGTATTTGCTCGACGACAACTTTTTACACGACGATGCGTGTGTCGATCGATAACTGATTCGCCGATTTCTCATTTCTTTGATAGTGGCAGTAGAAATCGATTCGGGTCAATTATACCTACCGCGAGGTAAATTAAAAATCCTCTTTCTTTTAGAGATGAAACAAAATTACACAATCCATATGAAAGGTATCTTGTTCAAAAAACGTTCGAACCATCGATCTTGCAGTTTCTTCGAATTAATCGCTAAATTAGTTTTACGCACAGAGTAAACAACTTCGGCGTTTCTCTTACATCGAGGGTTCTTTTATAACGTTCCTTTCGAGATTCGTAACATTCTTTTATGGATATCGTTCGAATTAGACATTTTCGAAAACGTTATTTCCATGAAATAGATATGTATTACCATCGTTCGTGGTAAGTTGGAGAGACGGTGTTTTATACGATTATTAATAAATTAACGAATATCGACGTAGTTAGCGCGAGATGAAAAACGATGAAAATTTCGCAGAGAACACACACTGCTATAATTACACGTCTCAACACGGCGTATTCCTGCCTTAAGACAAAGGCAACTTTACTTTGATTCTATATTCGTGAAATATAGTACGAAACAGAGTATTAATAGTTTCAACATTTTCGACTTAGATCATAATTTCCTACGAAAATTGAAACGAGAGATGAAATTGATTTCATTTCGTATCTTGTAAATATGCACAAATGAAGTGCAACGGGACGATTATTTTTTTTTTTTTTTTTTTCTCTCTCGAAACTGAAGACACGCTCAGGCTCAACACACAGACTATGTTAGATTATTGTTACGTACGCTCACGTGTGAGAAATGGAAAATGAAAGTTGCGTGTGATGATGATAAATTCTCGATGCGGGTTATTATAATTTTAAGTGTTTCTGATAACGACGCGATATATCGTTATCATATTCAGACGGATATTCGCGCTCGGCGAACATTGATTAGGGCTCGAACAAGCTCATTCATGTGGGTTCGAATTGAGATCATACTTTTGTTTCAATCAACTTTCTCTCCAGTTCGTTTGAAATATTTTCGCGTATTACGTATTATACAAACTTGTTACAGCATCGAAGGATTTATTTGAAAAAAAGAAAAAAAAAAAACTTTTTTTGTTCGATATTTCCTTAGAATTTTGAGTTTTTACCATTTTAACGTGATTGTTAATTGTT